TTACCATGATTTATTTCTCAAAGAATGCCTCCATCCCCACTCAACTGTTGATGGCGATTCCCATATTCAGCTCAGGTTTAGGAAACTGAACAAGTTTTTGCATACTAACCCCCATGACCTTCAATTACATACATAGGGGTAGTTCTTACCCGCAATTATATTTTGTACCAGGAACAGTCTACGTACCAGTACCCATTTTCAATGAACAGAGCAAGAGTTGTAGTCCTTACTGATAGCTAAAATTTGTCAGTTTGTTTAGCTCATTTCTTTCTACTTGTGTACATGAACACCAAAGCTACAGGTAGTGACTGCAGGTTACAACACCTTCCACGTCTGTCTACGGGGACATCACCTGCTACTGGCTCAGAGGACACTCCCAGCACTCAGGGAATACAGAGAGAGTATGCACCCGCGTCCCCGCCTTCAAGCACAAACAGGTACATGCATGCCGTACATGGTGCAGGGACGCCAACATACGGCACACAGTCTACTTCCTTGAGTGCCGCGCCGTTTGGGGGAACCAAATATTGATTTTGACTTTGGGTGTCCCTCGGGAAAACAAGCCACCGGGAAATGCAAAGATCTCATTTAGAGGCTGAGGCTGAGCACAGTTCTGTTCCACTCACAGATTAATTTCACATCGTGAAAATTCCCCCGCATCTTATTTTGATATCTATTGATCGGATTGATTTTGGTAGATCTGGCAATTTTGGAATTTCTAAATATGGTACTATAATTCTATACAAGTATGTAAACTAAAAGCAACCAGTGATAGCATGTTGTAGTGCATGCAGGTTGAAGTGAAAAAATGTACATAAACTACATTTGTACCTGCTTATTTTTGATGAAGGTAAATGTATATTATGCTGAGTTTAATTTAATATGCTGTCATGTGTTCTGTCCTCAGTGTTCACACATGTATATGTACTGTATATTGCATACACATACATTTACATGTACCTAGGGTGAACATTTACTTCTTATGCGTGTAAGTGTAGTTATAAACACCATTTTCCTTCCACTCTGATCACTACTTTAAGCTGGATTTTCATTGGGGTTTCCTTGACTGTCTGCAATTTTGCAAGGATAACGCTTACCCCAAATTGCCTCTAAAACTGTTTTCAGATGAGGGGAAACCTTGTGTGGACCTGGCATACACGTAATCCACACAAGGTCCACAATGGGATGACACGGTTGGCACGTCTGTGAAACAAACAGCACATTTTTAATGTAAACATGAGAAAGGATCAGGAAGGAACTGGGGACACGTACTCATACGTGTGTATTTCTTGAAGCATAAGACAGCAGTGATGAAAGGAGCGTACACCAATGCAAAAGACTGCATGAATAATCACTTCCTTCGAAAAAAAGCTCATGGCAATGCTCATATTTCTCCTTGATTCCGTCCTCCTCAGAAAGTTGAAAGGCATAATCCGTGTGCAATTCCCTGGGAAAAAATCCTGCTCTCTGGGAGAAATCCAGCATTTGTTGGCCGCTGAACGGAGCATTCAGCAGCCGGATTCTATTCGGACTGGAGAGCGGGGAAACCACTAGATATTGAATTTCATTGATTTTCCACCGTTGTCAAAGAAAGCGCTGTCAAGGTCAGGACTGATAGAAATCTTCATAATTTCATTTAAGGAAGGACTACATGTAGCTGTCTGGTGTTTCCTCAAGCAGGACTTTTCATGACTCTTGCGCTTTTCTGAATATGAAAGGAAAACTGTATTTCAAGCCAGTAACCTCTGTAAATGTGCAAGCAAATATGCTAAAAGAATGAATTATGCTCAGAGAATGAATTACTGGCAGCTACGGTACGTCACAATTCTGCGCCACAGCTTTTACGCGCAACGTAATGGATATTTGGCATAACGCTACATTCAGTTATGAATGCCTTTACTTGACAGCAAAAACAAAAATTTCATGCCTCCAACAGTTCAAAATTTTGTCCTAGTACATGTACATGTATCAACCGATTTGCTCCAACCTTTCCTCTGCCAGGAAATTCTATGGGTTCTTCAATCTAAATCTTCCATCTAACAATGTAATTATACGAATGCCATTTCACCTGAAAAAGGGGGATTGGTGGGTAACAAGCCCTTCGGCAAATTTACCACCTGGCCTTGTACTCAATTTACTTCCTAGGCTCTCCAGCTTAATAAAGAGTACTTAATACTTTCTAGCACAGCTCATCTGACCAATTTAATGTGGTAAGGGTATTACAAAAAAGGACAGTAACCTTCCCTCTTACAAAGAGCATATGTGTACATTTTTAATGTCCAGTTCAATCTTGCCTTTGAAAACACACAAGTAGATTTCTGAATACCATACATTTGTAGTAAAAGAACTGATGTTTTCCGAGTATAAAGGAAAACAAAACCTAAATTGCATGAAATTAATGCCACGTTTGTGGCGAAGGCAGAGCCTTTTCTACATGAATTTCATTAATACGGCGATGCATGATTAATAATACTGCTCATGATTTCTCCATGATAGTGCAGTCCCCCCCCTCCCATCATTGATTACCACCACCGTGAAGTCACATGTGGCAAATGAATCATGAATAAGCCATCAGATAATGATTCGTCTCCACATGAAGGGCGGCGACAAAAGACCATGGTGGTGCTGGATCCGCCCTAGGCCTGACCTTTCCTGAAATGGGGTAGGGAGAACAGGGGAGGAACAGATCGCTAAAGGATCAGATCCCCCCTCCCAGGATGAGTTCTGGACTGTGCAAATGGATTCGATCACCCTCCCCAATATCCCCTGATGGATCAGCCTAATATGCTATGGCCAACATAGTGAAAGTACTTTTGAATCAAGTCATTTCCAAACACCTCCCCTTGCAGCTCAGTACGATACACACTGTCCCAAAAACATTTCCATTTTCCCCAAATTAGTGGTCTTGGGGGGGAAAATAGAGCACGAGTGTCTCCTACATGTAAATGCCAACTGGGACTTTGGTTATGTGTCATTAGGGATGACGAATTACATTTGCTGTGTTCCGGGATTATGAGTGAGATGACCGTGAAACTTTGATCTTACAATGCACTTTTTGATAGAGCGCTCTCTCATGAAGCACATTAAAATATGTGCATTAAGAAAAAGGCATGTGAGCAGTGCAAACATGAAACATTACTGGCACAATACAAGATAGAGTAGACATACGCACTGCCTCAGTAATAGAATTACATGTGACCAACCAGCATCAGGGATCCAATTTTGCTTGACAACATATGGTAACACGGTAATACAGCATGCACACATGCCCTACATGCAGAGTATCGACAAAGTACAGCACATGCACACATAATAAATGTGCTGTGGTCAACCAGAATGACCAATGGCATGATTATGAAATGGATCCTAGGTCCATTCACTGACCAGAAGTATTTACAATTTGAGATACAGCCAACGGTCACCTGGGCTAGATAGCTTGCTAAGTCAAGTAGAGTGCAGGTGTCAGTTTCTAAAGTTCACAGAGTGGACATTTTTTCAATTTCAGGCAAAATATGGACCCCTTTCTTTCAAATTCTGGTTTGAACCATGGAACGGATGTAGACGTAAAGCAGTGGTGTCCATATTCACATACACATATCCACATGCGAGTACCAAGCATCACACAGAGATTATAACTTGTAAGCACTGTGACTTAAGCGTCAATCAAAACAACTTTGTTTTCCCAGGAACTAAAATTGGATTGATCATGTAATGTTGCATGCGATGGGTGCATGGAATTTACACAAGTAAATAGACACAAACATGTCTAACACATGTTTCCATATATACATGTACAAACCTCCAGTGCTATTCACAAGACCATATAAGACACACTTTTTGTGATATACGACATATATGTAGGAGAAACCGGTAACTTGTTTGAAGCCATTCTGTGGCAAGAGTTGTCATGTATGTACATGTACATGTAAGTAATTCCAGAAATGAGAGGTCCAAAAGTGTGACATTTTTGTGTCCCTGTTACATCTGACCTTTGCAATTTGACACGGAAATATCACTAGAATTGATTTCAAACTATTACTATTTGTTTGGCAGGTAATTTGCATTAATTCATCACTCCTGGAAATTAGAAAATGTGTTCTGAACTTACAAAATCATATGTCAGATGTGACAGGGACACGAAAAAAAATAGACCTCTTATTTGTGGAATTACCCATGTTGGAAAAATGGTACCAAACCATCTTGAGAGTTGCCAACATTATCACTTTAAATGATTGTGTAATCATAATGAAAATGCAAAGCATTTGGGATGGAAATTACCGTAAGAAATATCAATGTTAAAAATTCAGGGGTGCACATGACAATTTACGTTTCATCAGAAACGGCCAGTATACCTGTGCAATGTACATGTTTCAACATCATTACATCAGGCACTCAGTGCTGAGTTGAGAAAGAATTTAATGTCATTAGACTGAAGTTTCTGGGACAGACTGCTTCTAACTCAACACTGTGTAAAAGGTTTAAGACAAGAACAACATAAAACGATTAATGGTGTCATTCATTGGAACACTCTCAGATAACACAGAGGATTATAAACTATGATGCAAGCTTCTTTAATGTCTGTGCACAGTATGCTTTAGTGTCGACATCTAACACACACCACCAGGATTATTAGGGACTCGCAATGCACATGACTCAGGGGAATGTAACTTAGTCAATATTTCGAATACATCCGTATGCATAATGCCACTGGTGCAGCATACATATACTGGTACATTTGAGACTGCATTCGGACCAACAGCGGAATTCAAATCAAGATGGAGCTCTTGGTCAAAATGCATTTTTGCACCCACTGATGACAAGTACTGCAAATGTAATTTTTTTCCCGAAGGTATGTATGCATTTATGTAGATCTACAAATAGAAATCTGATCTCTTTGGCTAGTCAATCATTTCAAGATATTATTCCCCCAAACACAGCAAGAAAAGATATGTTCAACTGACAAAGTATTAAAGAAAAATATACTCTGAAAAAGTATAAGATTATGTGTACATATAAACAAGACTGAAAGACTAGAATAGCTCTGTTTAGAAATGACATGTCCTTTTGGAAGCACGAGTTTACATTATCACATTAGTCCGTTCTAGGTGACGATTCGGGAGTTTATGAAAAAAAGCTAAAAGTTGCACTGAGAAACACAGTGAAAGATTAGACAAGTGAATCAGGGTCTACATTGTAGAAGGACAATGTATGTGGCCAGGCCACTTCTCAAGTTTTTCTCAAGCTCTGTTGACCATGTTACTAATTCAGGGAAGAGCCCAGTCCAACGGGAATTCAGGGGCACAGTCACAGAAGTATTCATGGCACACGTGTTGATTTGTATAAATCTTTTCAAATCGGTAATTTTTGAAGTGAAGAAGAAACACTACTCAGACTGTCTTCAATTAAAGTACACATACACTGACTGCCCTTTTACATAAATTGGCATTGTTAAGGTTTCTACCAACACTGAAAAAAGGCCCATTAGAATATGCCTTCATCATGAGAATGCACAGATGCAAGTGGGGATGAAGTAGATTGCTTGCCCAGTAAGATACCTTGCTTGCCCAGTAAGTTACCTGTCATTTGAAAGTTTAACTCCCCCAAAATTGCTTTGATCATCACCTACGTGTCCATAGTGATGGTTTGTGGAACTGATTAATGATTACAACAGTGATACAGATTCATATCCAATGTGAGTTGCTTTCAGTGTGGTTAGTGATGAGCAAAGAAATGGACAACAATGCACCAGTGCCATCACTGTCAGTTACCAATAATACAAATTCCAGCTTCCTGGAATAGACATCGAGAGGTTTTACATGTAGGTTCACTTTCAGTTTCATCCCACTTAATCATTTATTTTGGAGTTTGGTTCCAGGGTTAGTCCACATCTTCGCTCCCTCCTATCAATGCATTTTTTTGGTGAATACTTAAGGAAAGTACTGTGCACCTGTCTCTCCAGTCTCCGTCCCCCCTCTCAGAGTTTGCCCATGAGTTTCCGCCGCGAGCTGACTGTCTCCTCCTTCTTGTTGGCACCCGGCTTCTCCGCCTGCACCGCCTCCCACACCTCCTCCTGCTGCCACGCCCGGGCAATGAGCAGGTACAGCGTCCCACTCAGAAACGTCAGGCCGAAGGAGGCCCAGGCCAGGAAGAAGGACCAGGCATAGTTGAGCTGGTAGCCTGGTGGGAAGGGCGAGAAGGCCTCCGGCACCTCATTGGTGCCGTAGATGAAGCTGACCATGAAGAACAAGATGCTGAGGAGATGGAAGAAGGCTGACAAGATAGCAGAAAAAGAAGAAGAGGGAAAAGTGAGTGAGTTATCTACGCACATCGCAAACTCACTCTGAAGTCATCCGTTTCTTTTTAGGGTGACAATGACAATTCCAAAAGAGTATTTAGCTGGTAACCACAACTAACGTGTACAGGGGAACCTGCATTTCATATTGTCTTGCTTTCAAAAAGAAAGATGTAAACATTGGATTGATCAAAATCACTTCAAACATCAAGAACCCTACAGCTTATTTCTTGCTCTGACAAAATACATCACGCTGACAAACTAATATTCACACCAAATTCCCGTAGTTTGAGCAAAAACCATAGCAATTTCAATCAAAATCCTTGGCTCAAATCATAAATGCAATGAAGGGTTTTACAGATTTTTTTGGAGCCATTACTTTACAGTCCTCGATCCTTCAATTTTGTCAAGATTTTAAGTGCATCCTGAGGGTTTGGGTTCAATTAATCTTACGAACCAGACATTATAATGACAAGAGAACTATAAATTCGAGACACTGCTGAAGAAAGCCTGTGTTAGTCTCTGTTTATCAACGTCCAAATTTATCATCAGGGTCATTAATACTTGATATGAGTGCCATCTAACTGTTGTGCATTACTATGGCCTCAGTCGAATACGATGATGATGGATGATGGGCCAACTGATTTTGCCAAAGTGCCTGTGCTATTTTCAGCTGACGCCAAATGTAGACTCCTACAGGGAACCAGCTGTGTTGCAATATATGCAATATCAGAGAATGGTGGGAAAAAGCACATGTGTCCGTTATTCGGAATCGGTCAGTGACACATCAGAAATGGACACTGCCTTACCTCCTATCAAGAACATGATGCCACTGTCGGTGAACAGAACCGTAAGCATGGTCCATGTTCCTTGAATGCTGGTCATGGCCCCAAAGAACTCCATCCCAAGTGCTGCACAGGCAATGACACAGGCACATTTCTCTAAGTCTGGAGAAAAAACACACAAACCAAAACAAAAAAACTTCAACATATCAATAAAAAAGGGTGTATAGAAACTCACAATTAGATCTCATAACAAGCACATTTTGACAAATGACAGGTGGATAATCCTTGCTCTGGTCAAAGAAGTTCTTGACCTTATTCCACAAGGTAACTTATTTTACAAAGCCTACAGGTACAGTACATGAGCCCTTACTCAGGTCAACCACACCTGTAAGATTGTTTATTATTTGTTTTTAGTTTTAGTTTTTCATTCACTTGTAATTTGGTTTTAAAAACTCCAATAAGAAATATGAAAATTTACAGTGATTCAATAACAATATTTTACACTCAAAAATTCTGAACAAAACTTTCAAATACCATGTCAGATTGAACTAAAAATTAATGCCACAGAAGGTTGCTGATATTATCTAGTCTGGCAATTTAAGGAAAACTACATTTAAGTTCATGACCAGCACAGTTTACTTGCAACCGGTATTATTTGTAGTTATTTGCCATGAAACGCTATTAACAAAAACAAAGCCCGGGCTACAGCAATCTACGCATTATCAACAAAGTTCAGTATATATATCCAGCTGTCAGTTGCACATTTTACACGACTTTGATTGTGTTCAGTGCAGAGGAAAGGGTTCCGGTCAGCAACCAACGGGATCATCTTTGATTACAAATTAAAAAGGATTTTTTTTTTCATGTCCAGCACTGTCTATTATCTAAATTTGTCCAAGAACTACACTTACAAAACTGAACACTGAAGTACGTTGCTCCCGGAGCATCTGCGCTTATGCCCAATGTGAAGTTGTACGAATCACATTCTACCAAAGCTGCAAACAAGAAAATAAAAAAGTGCAGATGGTTTGTTATGATTTGTTAAGTTTTGAAAGACCAAGATATACATGTAGCTAGAATTAAGGCATTGAAACTCAAACACAAAACTGGCTAATAGAACTAAACCTCCACAAGGGTTGTGACTGTTTTGATGGTACCATGTACATGTATAAACATGACTTCTTGTCAATTATCCCTACATGTACATGTAGCTTGATGTCCTCATACAATGTACATTTGCATATTCCTCCAAAACTGCATTGCATTAACACAATAATACTTCATAATACGTTACCAAAATGCATCATTAAAATTTGAAAGACCAAGCAAATCTTCCAATAAAGCCAAAATATTTAATCAAATGACAATTCTTGTAGCCCAATACTTTATTATGCAGTACTGGTACAATTTTCCTGGCCAATTGCTCAAAATTAATAGCCAAATTGTGAATATTCCTTATTCGGCGACAAGGTCTACTGACAGCTGGATCGCCCAAAGTACATGTACACGGCCCATATCAGCAGCACACCCGGCCTGTCATCCATTCCCGTGGGTAGTCTTGACATAATGATTTGATTGGATGATCATTCATCCCCCCCTACCTCATTTGACAGTATCACATTTTAAAGACGTGTTTAGGTACAAATGCCCCTCAGACTTCTGCCTGGGCAAGTCATCATTACACTCGAGGAAACATGCCCATGGTTCAGTGCGCCCACTGTACACACATCACAGAGAACCTGTCTAGGGAGATGCTTCATGTTTGCCTTTGAATTCCAAGTCTGAGTCATGAATTGGTCTTGCCATAGTGCTGGGAACCCTGCCGTAATGTGAACTCACAGAAAGCACTACATGTATTACTTTGTTTCTCTCCTCAAGTAAAAACAACAATTGCATGCATGCATAAAAATGATCAAAAAAATAATTAAAAAAAATAACAGTAACAGAGAAGGTAAAGCCTAATTTCCATTTCCACTGAAGAGACAAAACCAGTCGCGCCAAACAGTCCATGATGATATGCAATCTTATGGAAACAATGTACTTTATTGCGACTGATGAAAACACAGTGAAGATAGGCCCATACAAACACAAAAGCTGGCATGACAGGCCCAATTGTCACCCAAATAAATTGTCAAAAAAATGAAATAAATCAAACCGAGGTACCAGTTTAACTTCAAGAAATGGAATAAACACTTAAAAAGAATATTCCTTTTTAAAAATGTCCTTTTTTTCTGTTGCAAAAATCTTATTTCTTTATTTCCACCACGGAAATGTGGCAAAAGAAATCAACTAAAATTAAAATATTTGAATAACCTGTTCTAGATCACAGTCCTGCTTAAACACTGTCAAATTCTAAGTCAAAGTGTGACTTACAGGCTTGACTCTAACAATGTCTGCACAGATTTTATGCAATATTTTAGTATTACAACTGAGAGGAAGCATGTGTGCCAAACCCAAAGTAATAAGCAACATGCACAATGTATATTACATACATGTATCTGCGTTTTGAATTTTTGGTTCTGAGGATGATTTCAGTAATCCACTTACAAACCAACGTCCAGCAAAAACATTTATTGCCACTGATGATCTGGGAAATCTATGAAAATCACCATTTTACAATACTTCTGTATTACTATGACAGAACCTAGAAACGAGATCATCCACATGATGGTATGGAAATCTATGAGGAAACATCCCCCCCAAAGGGAACTTTTCATCCAAGCAGAGATGCCAGCCCTCATCAGCTTCTCACTGTCTTCATCACATCATCTTAAGCACTCCACAGGCAAATCCACAGAGGGGGAGAGAGAGGAAGAGCATCTGAGCAAAGCATCTTCCCTTCCAGCGACGTCCCTGGAGGACGAGATGCCATGAAACATCTCTCAGTTAAAACAACTGAGGAAAGGTGATGAGGAATGAGGGGGGGGCAGGTGGGGGGTGGTGGAACCTGTGAGGCCTGTGGCATGTCGGGACCTGTGCCAGTGGGCAGACGCTAATGAAATGATTGAGAGAACGGTCAGTTGTCACTTGAATGTGTGCACACAGGCCAGCCTCAGGTGGCCCAGGCCGTGGTACTGCACAAAACTGAAGTGAGTGCTGTTAGGGTACTGTGCATACAATACAGTGGATTCAAATAGACCACTCCCAGCCCAACAATCAATAGCCGTTCAGTTCAATAGGAAAATTGCCATGTGGAGAGTCAACCTTGGTTGGACCCATGTACACGTACATGATGTACAAGTATATGTACTCTCCACGGAAGGTTGTTACATGGGACAGGTGGAATACCGGTTCAGTACAAACTGTACATTTTGATTCCATAACAATTTAATGTATACATGGAATTTAAATTTCACTTTTAACAACTTTTTGCTTCAATCACTTTCCTTTGGAATTTGGGAAATAATTTGAACATTTCTCTACACCACTTTTAGAGTCAAAATAAATTTCTCATCAAACTCAAAAGAAATGTCTGTACGACTTCCATGTAATGAACTACATGAACCTTTTATTTACACACAGATTTGCGCACACCAAAGGCAGCTGATCTGCTCCATTACGTACATGTACATTGTACTTCCTGAAAGAAAATATTCTCCCACTCTCCATTCCACAATCACTACATTTACTGGTTAATCAAACATGATGTGTACGTATTCAAGATGCTGACGTAACTTCAATACCATAAAACACCACACCACATGTATAATATGGTTCCAATGCATTTTATGCATCTGGTAAAAATAAACCTGCTGTGTCATATTGACAATACACACTGTAGATCGGTATGTATACAAGTGTGTCATTGTGCAAGCTGACTATAGTGCCCCGGCAGCTGGGCCAACACCTGACAATGACATGGCCGAGCTTCAAAACGAGGACACAGTGTCAATTTGTACACGTATTCACAATTCACAGCATACAGACAGAAAAAAAATATGTGCTCCCCAAAAAATTCAAGAGAATGGATGGTGAATGTTATTAGGTATAAACTTAGCAGTTTGTGGACATATTGATGTGCAGTTGGAATTCATGAATCATCACAGACATGTAAAGTGCATATACGTGTACGCTGTGGTCAAATTCAAAAGAAATGCTTACTGTAGTGTGTCCCATTGAGGGCCAAACAAATAGAGCCTTCCAAAACGTAGTTGCTGTAGTATTTAATGACAAGTTACATGTACCTCAGAATTTGACTGCTGGGAAAACTTCATGCAAAACAGACTTTAGGGGTCATCCATTTTTGTCATCATATTCACAAGCGTGCAAACTGGGGGAGGGGGTTAATTGGTTGCATACGCTTTAGAAACATGTTAAAAATGACAATTATGAAAAGACCGGCCATAGTTTATGCTTCCCGCTGCTATATGCATGCAGTCAGGTTGAAGTTTCAACTCCTGTAGAAGTACACATGTGCAGGCTGTTTCACATGGTTCCAGATCAAGCGCAAGGGATGATATGAGCGTACATAATCCTCGTGTAAAGAAACTGGCCCACACTTGTGCATGCGTGCAATGCCTATTGGACAACGATGCACATGTGTTTCTTGCCAATAGCAAGTTGAATTCTGAGCATACCAGGTGACTTACTCTGATGTTATAGACAATGTTTTTCCTCCTGCCACTATTCTCTGGTCGTCCACTGCAGATCAACAGCCGTACATTTTGATTTACGTGTAGAACATCACACACCACAGACAAATCATCGTTTTTTGTTTCTTAATTTTGTACTCTTTTAAAGGGAGAGGGGAGCCAGGAAAAAGAGTACTCTTTCTACGCTTGTGAAAATGATGACAAAAAATGGATGACCCCTTAAGGTATGGTACATTGTAAATAATCCCCCAGCAAGGCATCCTGACACGAGTTTGGCAAAATAAGCGACGGAGCAAGGTGGAAGCTGTACAGCTACAGGTACACACAAAGCTTGACTTAATGTACCCTTTGCCAAAACATTCTATTCCCTCCTCAAACAAATGTCTTACAAGTCTTTACTATGTATGTACTGCACACAACACGACATAATTATACAGACCTGTAAAAACACGTTCCAGTAAATGCACAGTCTACAGTTGGTAAACACCCTGGTGCACTGCAGTTTTTAAAAATGGCACTTCACTACATAAGCGCTGTTTCTGTTCCTGATATATCTGCACGCTCAGTTTTAACACATTGATCAAAGTCGTTGATTTGAGGGTCCCATACCGTGCATACATTGTACAAAATTTGGCAATTGTTAAATGAACACTGTATCCTCTCCCCTCAAAAATAAGTTTACTCTTGTTATGCATACAACTGTTCCAACAGCAAAACATTTCAGTCGGATAAAAGGGATGCAAATAGAACGCAGCAAACAAGCCCTGGCAAGTGATGGATTTTTCTCCTAATTACAAAATGTCAAATCAATATTTGAGGACTAGTAACTTAGAATTCTTGACGTGTTCTGGTGCATGTTTACATACACATAATTATGTGCACTAATTCAAAGTTGTCAGTGTAAAAATGACTGTCACAAATTTGTAAACAAAAGATGTCCTCTAGTACGGTACCTGCAAGCCCTTTTTCCAATTACACAATATACATGTACAGTACATGAACATGTATCAAATCAAAAATCATTGGTGAATGGAAAAAATACCCATCAAATTTACATACATGTACATGTATTCTTGATTCAATCCTATAGACCTATAGACACATGAAGAAACTTACAAGTCTCAAGGGAGGTCAACATCCACGCAGTTTAATATTTAACTTGCTCTAGACGAAAAAACCAGCAAAAATCTTGACAGACTGCCCGCGTGTGATTCCTGAAAGGCCAGCGTGTAAGTTATTAAAGACTGATTATCATGCGTGACTGTTCATGGTCCAAGCAAAAATGCTGAGTACACTGAAATGAATTTTGGGGAGGGTGCATGAGACCAACACAGGTGCCATTTTTTAGGGGGAGGGAAGGGTCTGTTTTATAATACAAATTGTAAAAATAATAATTTATTCAT